CGCTACTGCCTTTCCAAAGCACCGAATCAACGCTTCTTCTCCTTTTTTGACCCCCAGAAACCACCGGGCGCTTGCGTCAACTCGGTGAGGCAGGTGGAGGAGATCTCCTGGGTTTCGAGGATCGATGATGAACCCCGATCGGCTCATGTGCTGTTGTTGAGAAATTCTCTGTAGAGCAACCACTGGAAAATGCCCTAATCTGGTGGAATCCATGGAAGCGGTGGCCAAAAATGACCATGGAAATTAATTTAACTCCTCAAAAATGGTTGTGATTCGAACTTTGAACCCTGTTTGATTGGGGTGGTTCTAGTTCTAGCCACCAATTGGCACTCTCTGGGCCTATGATGCGGCAAGGCAAAGAGTGAGTGCTCACCAGCGAGCATGGCATAGCATGCTATGGGCATAGCATGCTGTGGCCATCCATCCAGCCCTTTAACGCCTTTAAGCCGTCAGGTGTCCGAGAAGCAGGACTGCCGGCAGGCTGTCTATCCTTACCATCTGTCATGTATGTCTGGAAATCTTAAGCATTGGTCAAAGGAATGGTTGAGGGTAACTCGGGTAACTGCTTCCCACATCAAGTACCTGGGAATGGTAGTAAGTAGTGATGCACCGCCATTCGCATCTGTCCCCCAATGATCCTTGGTGGTTGTTCATGTTGACCATTCCCACAATCGAAAGGGCTCTGTGACCACTCAATCATAAAACCACTTCTGATTCCAACTCCACCAGCCATAAAAGAGAGCTAAACGAACAAAACCCCACTCCTCAAGCAGGGCTACGCGAGCCGTGCAAGTCTCCGGACATGCGTTGAACACCTGAGCACGTGCAAGCTGACAAACAAAGGCCGTAGAAAGAGCCGGTAAACTGCTGAGAAATCAACACCCCATAACACCCGCATATGGAGAGATTGTGCAACCCCGATTGAGGGGCGCTTAATCATCAACAGTCTACATACGGGTTTGCCTGAAGAGTCATGGAGTCATGGGAACCGCCAACAACCACCGAAAGAGCGAATATCCGGTGCTAGTGGACTTATCTGATGAGCGGCTGGCACATATTGGATCTGGCATATGATTATGGGTGTGATGTGTGTTGCATCTGCAAACTAGATTTAAATATAATAAGTACTATACATATAGGCTCATCTAACCAGAGCTGGGTGCCCTCCAAATAGCAGGTGGGTGTCCAAATTTCTACCCGTCCGGTAAACTCCAAAGCACAAGCTGGCAGCTTTTTCCAGGGACTCGCAGCATTCGCTGCAATTTGCAAACAATCAGCACTTGCACGCAACACGTGCATCCCAATCAAAACCATAATGATAGCTTATAGCACCAAATTCAATTACCAGGCTCCATGCGCATATGCAACCAAGCCAGCAGGTCAAAAGGTTGATTCTTCGTTTAAGCTATTTTTCACTTTAATCTTCTACGTGACGCGATATTGTCCCCCCGCTACCACATCGCCTCAACAAGCCGCGGTTGAAAGAATTACGAAAGCCTCACAAGGAAACCTTCAGCGGACGCGACGGTTTTACTCGAACAACTCTCACCTCTTCCTAAAGCCCCTCAAGAAGCTTAAGGCTTCAACAAGCACACATCACAAACTCAAACAGGTTGTGGCTGCCAGTAAACTGGCACACTGGCTGCCAGCTAGCTGGCAGTCAATAGCCTACTAAGGTTAAGCGCACCCAGCTCAAAACCCCGGCCCTTCTACCATTTGGTCTTTGTTGGAAACTGAGGTGTCCTTACTGAACCCACACAATTTAACCGTAAAACCGTGACAAGTCCTGTATAGCAAAACCTATGTGGCATATATGCCACATAGGTTTTGCAACACTTACTCCAAGTGAAAAGCGTTAGGTATAACAAGTGTTCGAGGTTTTCCTGACCAAAAAGATTTGGCTGGTTAAAAATTTGACGGGTTTCCTGGCCAAATGGATTTGGCAGGTCAAATTGTGACGGGTTTTCCCGGCTGGATTTGGCTGGTCAAATTGCGACAGTTATTGTTTAACATCACATTTTTGGTGGCCAAATCCATTTGGCTGAGGGGTTGGCCAGAAAGCCCATCACAATCTGGAAGCTTGACTGGCCCCAGAAAAGCAATTGGCTTTTCAAAAAACCCATCACAATTTCATACGTTTTGGAAAATCACGATTTGAAGTTCGGAGTGAGCTGGAAAGTCTGACGCGTCTGAAACGTGACGGGTTTTCCTGGCCAAATCCACTTGGCTGGTAAAATTGTGACGGGTTTTCCGTCTCCAACTCATTCATTCCTGCAAGGCCCCATTGATCGAGCTTGGCCGGGCGCAAGGCACTGAAGCTTCGGGCGCACATTGCACCTACAAGCTTCAGGTGCTTGCATCCGACTGCTCCAAGCATAATCTTTCAATCCAAGATTGTCGAGCCTCAGCTCTTGAGCCCCAATGCAACATAAATGTCAAGCCGAGAAAGTTTCACACGTCCAAGCTGGGCATTTTGAGCATTCAGCATATAGGCACAGTGGTTGGTGCTTCCAGCTGGCTCAGGCAACCCTCGGGGCCGCAAAGTAGATCAGACCCACATCAACACATGACTCCGCAGAGGGTCGAGAAAGATCTGGCAAATAGTGTGAAGTACGAGTTGGACCTATTGAAGTTGCAACGTCCCGGTCAAAGTCAAGCCTTTCTTTTTGCAGCCACGTTCTCCATCCACCTTAATAAAGTGTTTTGAAAAGCTTGAGACAAAAACTCTAAAGTGCGGCGCAAAACTTTTGAAATAGTGGTGCTTGGCTGCGGCGCCAGAAGCGGTGGATGATGTTGGTGGTTGTGAGGAAGGAGATGGTCTCTGCGGACTCTTCATGCGTAATGTCTCCATCATCATCATCATCATCATCATCATCTTCATCATATCTCCACGCTGGCATGGCTGCCCACTTCGAAGGAATCTAAATTCTTGAAGTTCCATGACTGTATATATAGGTATTGCATGTGTCAAGCGCATGTGGATGCTGCCTCATTCTTAGAGCTCTTTGCTTCCAAGCAGAACAAAATTAAGTACATGGCCGTGTTACATGTTTTTGACGGAGCTAGCAAGAAACTTGACAACAAGGTACTATTCCAAATCAAACACCCACTTGATATTTGGAAGACACCCGGTTCAAGCTAGATGAGCCTATATATACTATACATATGGCTCATGATCACAAATGTCTGCACAAAATCAATCATCAAACACACAGCGTGCCATCAGACATCGTGTTGGAATTCGAAAAAAATGCCATTCCAATGAGCTCCAATTCCACGCCCCGTGTGGCCTCCATTGAGATCCAAATGCCCCCCCCTGCATCCCCCCTGCAACCTGAATTTAAAACATACACTCCCTTTAACTAACATGCAAGTGGAAAAAAAACATCTGGGTGCAAAGCAACATGGTCTTCCAAGGCATTCCAAGGGACCATATTCCACTTGGGAGTGTAAACATATATAAAACATCGCTTTTCTGTGGGCAAGCACAGGCCTTGAAGGCTATTGACTTGACAAAACAATTTGTAATTAATCAAGTCCTTCACCACTCCAAGGATGTCAATTCCAACATAAGGGAAAGAACACACACACACGCGCAAAAAACACAATACTAATAATAACACCACCCCTGACACACACCGTGGCGCGCATGCGCGCCCATGCGGGAGGAACTTTCCCCACATCTGGGTCGCGGCACGGCACAGGGCAAGGCGGCACAGCACACGTTTGCACCCGGTCGCTGTGCCTGGCACCTCAGTGGGAAGGGCTCCTAGTCCCGCTCTCGGCGACGGTGCCCCCCAAAAAATCATGCCTGATTTCACTTAGCAGGATTCACATGTGGCACTGCTCCATCCATAGGATATGGTATGAAACACCTGTAAAAACCATAGCTAAAGGGGTTGGGAAAACTCCTTGGCTCCATTTATCGGGACATGCGATGGAATATGGAGGACCCACCCTTTGGTCACGACGCCGTTGTTCTCTGAAAGAGGTGCGTCGGGACCGCTAAAATCCAGCGAACCGGGGATCCAACCTCAGGTGGAGACTCCTCCGAAGAGTCTCAGGCCTCAGCGGCCTCCAGCCCCCGCCAGCGCCTCTCCCAGACCACTGGGCCTCCCAGGCAGCAGCTCCAAGGCCATGCTCCAAGCGCCCCTTGGTGACTTCGCACGTCGAGTGGGTCTGGTTGTTGTGATATGGGTGTGGCAAATCTGCCAGGCACCAAAGTCGGAGAGGCTTGGCTGGTAGGTGAACATATGAGTCAATGAGTGCATCAGTCATGGGCTCCCTTTTGCTTTCATTTCCTCCAACAGCGACGCTGACGTGGAACTCCTGCTTAAGCCACTGGGTGGATCAAAACCGCTTGCAAACAGGTGACCCACAAGTGACCTCAAGCTCCTTTAGCTGTGGTTTGTGGGAGGGGCATGCATGTGCTGGGGCCAATTTTGTGATATTTTGTGGGGCCTTGATGGTTGTGGCTTCGTGGTCGCGGGGCTCCAACAATCTGAAGGCTTTCATGAGCACAACATGCCAGAATATCAAAGGGCAATCAGCGCATGGGTAGAACATCCAGGCTTTCTGGAGACTGCGCAAGCCAATGGGAGTGCATTAATTGCCCAAACAGGTGGTGACCCCCAGTTCAACCCATGATGAAATGGAATCAACAATCAAATAATCTAAAACATCCCAAAACCCGTTGCAAGGTTCCGGAAGTTTCTGGTTTCCCGCGCGCACCTTTTGGCTGTGCGTTGCTCTTAGGTTCCGTCAAGTGAATACCTTGACGCCTCCGGGCAAGCAATCGATGAAGCTGCTCCGACTTCGTGCGTAGCTCCAGCAGCTTTTTGCGCAAATGGTCACACACCAAGCAACCTGGCCAACCCACAATAAATACGCGCGTGCAGGCACCTGATAGGGACCATGACCCAACACTGAAGCGATGTCTAAATAGAGCATAAATATCTCCGACAGGGCTGGCTTAGCATGATTTGTGTGGACTTACATGCCTGAAGCAAATGCCCAGTTTTACCAAAGTGCTACCAACTGCGTGAGGGGACATAGTTCTTTCCCTGCAGTGACCATCAAACAAATATTATTCAAATAAATTCACCACTGTGAACCAATATGTATTATTGCTGAAAAAGGAAAGGCATCTAATTACCAGGTTCCATATTGACTCTTGACCTACCCATGCCTCAATTCACTGCCTAAACCTGCGAATTATGCGCAGCCACATGGCCTTCTACGCCTCCGAAACCCCTTTGGCAGCTTGCCGACCGTCCTGCCTTCGCGCCATCGTTCGCGCGTTCGCGCTTGACGGTCGTCGCTGGGCTTGAATTCAATGAGCGAGGTCGCTCGAAACGTCATGGCCAAGAGCCGAGGATGACCGGAATTTGTTGAGTCAATTGGCCCATTGAGGTGGCAGTTAATTATGGAGCAAAGAACCCATTGCAAAGGTTCGCCATGCTTTGCCAATGGTCTTGTTATGTGTTGTTCTGTGCTTTCGCATTGCATAAGTCTAGCTGATGGCTTGATGCTAAACCATGCATTACTATTCTTTACAAGAAACCGTCACTTTGCATCCTGTAATACCCTGTAGCCTGTAGCTTTTCTTCGCTGCAGTATCGTCAGAAATAGCTTATATTATCTTATATTAGCTTTCGGCGACATGTTTGCCAGCCCTGGCGGAATCCGCATCTCAGAAACCAAAGGTGAAAAAAGGTCAGTGATGGTCAGTGAGGTTTCCGACAGCCTTCCGTTTTCCTTGCTAGAGTTCAATTGATAGAAACTTGTGAGTCTAGCTAGTCTAATCAAACCCTTTGTAAAGCCATGTGCAACCCATGCTTGGTCGCATAAAAAAAAAAAAAACTGTACAGTACAATGCCCGGGCCTGGAAGACTCGGATAAAATCAATCCAAAGACCAAAACAGGTGGTTGATGAACCCACTTCGACCCAGTGAACCCTTGTAAGACCATTCATGACCATTCCCATCGACCACCCAGCGGTTTAAACTGGGTCCATGTTCACCTGCAGAAGGCAGAAGGGTACTTCAGGGAGTGTATCCACATCCTGGTTGGGTGGGACTCTTCGGGGACGAAGAGTAGGAACACTCTCTCCAGCGGATCGCCATTGACGGATCGCAGGTCGCTGAGAAGGTGGAACAAAACGGGCGGTCGAAAAACTTGGCCTTACTGGTAGGGCTCCAAATCGGAACTGCTGCTTCAAAGGTGGAGAGACCACTCTCCAAACATTCATTCCCGGTTATTAGTCTTGATATCTCTGGTTCCAGTATGTTCCAGTCACATGTTCTCCTCTTCCATCGTCGGCTCAGGCTCTGCTCGCAGGCCAGGGGTTGGGAACCCCCCCATGTGGGGACCTGTCGTGGTCGTCATTTTGGGCTTCAAATGAAGGGGCTCACTTTGCGCACCACTCCGCGCCCCTTGGACGCGTGGTAGAGCGTGGTGTAGCCCAAGTGGAACGGAAGCCATGCGAACCTCGGCACCCAAGGGGAATGGAACGATGCCAGGGTGAATCTGCTTCGGTGCTGGTCCAGTTTTGCCTGGTTCATCTGCCAGGTCACAAGGAAAAAGTTGCCTAGGCAGTCCAAACAGCTGAGTCTTTGCATGGTCAGCTGAGCTCTCGAGGTCCACTTGGGTGCGCTGACCATGTCATATATTTGCACACACCAGTTCAATGCTGACGAATGGGGTTAGCCTCGCAGGGCATGATCGTTCTTCGACCATGCCCCATACATGGCGTCCTCGCATTCATATAGGCCCACGGAGTAGTAGCATTGCTCATCGAAGAGTTTTAGGAAAACTATAACATCCAACCTCAACATTATATGGACCATATATGCACCCCTTTCTTCTCCATGTCACATATTAGTAATGTTATAACTATATTTATATATATATACAATTCACATGACTTCAACCTGTTCTTTCTTTAGCGCAAGAGGCTGGAAGAGTTTGCCCAAGGACTTGTGGAGCGAGATGGCGTTTTGAGCTGCTTGGTCGTTCTTTCCTCAAGCCGAATCTTTCCGTGGTAGTCTGGTCATCTCGGAAGAGGAGAGGAACCGAAGAACACGACACTTCCCAAGCCATACATGGAAGTATATATTTAGTTGCATACATTGACCTCCATCAAAAATAGCCCATCCATCCTCATCCATCTAATCATTTACATGGATGGTCTGGGGTTGATCAAAACAGAGCCAACCACTTGGGCGCAGTCCAACTTCATGCTCACTTCCCAGTGTCTCTGTTATGGTTTGCTGGTTCGGGCACCAATGGGCCTGTGACCCACGAGGTCTGGGACCGGTACGGACCTGAGAGATGGTGACCGCGCACGGCCGAGCTCCATACATGAACTATCCCAGAGGAATGGGACTGGAAGAGCGTAATACTCCATTTACCCCATGTATGACCCTAATGTGGGTAACTGTTTCCAGTCCCATTGATGATTTGAGCATACATTGACTGATGCTTATGTTGGGTATATCCCATTACACAGGCTCAATGGATGATGCTTAGGTTGCAGGCCTTTCGCAAAAACATAGTCATACACCTTTGCCGACTGTTCCTACACCCTTATTATGAATAGGAAGGATAGCGGGCTGGCTTCAACTCACCTGAAAGATTCCCAAACCATCGATGCACATGAGTCAGGCGCCGTGCCTTCCCCCCAGCCTGGCAGGTGAAACACCGATCGACCGTCTTGTTCGAACGCGCTGGACACCAACGGGTCGACCGTCTCGGACGTCCGGTGCCACACCACACCGACCTCCGACACCACGTGACCACACCAGGTCGACCGGGCTCCGCTGGTGGGATCCGCCCAGAACGTCCAAGCTTCGGTCATCCTCGGGCGATTCCGAAGAGGCCCACTTCAAGTAGTACCTCGGCGGGTCACGGTGGAGAGGAGGGGGATGTGAAAGCATCACCACACCGGTGTAAAGTGTCACTGGTGCTCCCCCTCATGTTGTGCTCCTTTTGGCAGTCCACTGACAATGAACAAAGCTAAACGTTTTGGTGCGCACGGTTCAGTCAAACGGTCCCTAAATAAAGCTCAGAGTTGTATGAGTTCTTGTGGTTATTGTAAGTCTTGTTATTGCGTCTTCCTTTCGGAATTCACTTGGTCAGCAAAAAACACCCGGTGAACAAAGGACAGTCTTGGCTTCGCCACACATTTATAGTCTATGATACTCCAAAAAAAGGAATGGACAGCATGAACCCGTGGAGCCCTATGGAAGTATAGTCCATCAAAGGTATTATAATTATGGGGAATCATAGACTATAGTCCATGCCTAGAATGGAATGTCCAACCAGTGGAGCCCAAACCATGTCGGGGGCCCGTACCATAAAATACTTGAATGTGAGAAACACGTAGACGTAGCCTATGAAATGGTGAAGAAAACCACATCTACAAACAAACATAGTAAATGTTACTAATGGTTTACAGCTATTTAGTGATATCCATGAATATATATATATATATATGGTGGTTGATCAATATTCTTCCATCCTGGAATGGCCATTCATCGCGGAAAAAAAGATATCTTTCGCGGATCTTTCGCGGCCTCATCGCGAAGCATGGTCCTACAACCATGTCTAGCTAACATGAGCCGGAACATGTCATAGTATCACAAAATAGGGAGAGACATCTTGCAGCATGACCCCTGCAGTAGATGGTTGAACGTTTCCACAGCTACTCAGGAGTCCGGCGCAACTCAACCCAATCCTCGTGCCAGCTACCAACACAGGGTGCTGCAGCTTGAGGAATGTTGGGGGGCCTCAAGCTGGGAACCTAGACTTTAGCGGCACATTCGCGAAACTTTCGCGGATCTTTCGCAAAATTTCACTGGTGCTTTCTGTGACAGTGGGGACAGGAATCGGAGAATCCTTTACGCACTGCCAGGGCTGGGCACGGAAATGTTGAGGCTTCAGTTCGTTAGTCTGTGACATATGGGGACACTTCCGCCCACTGGCTCTGCCGGAGGATTGCCTTGCGGTTCTATTCTTTGTCAGTCCGGTAGAAAGGAAAACAATGAAAGCGATGACCTTCGATAAATCTTTCGCGGAAAAAAAAGATACTTTCGCGAACCTCATCGCGAATCTTTCGCGGATGGTTCTAACAACATCTGAAAGGCTGTTTTATATAAAACTCCTTACACGGGGTTTTCGATCAACTCCCATATAGAGGAGGATCTCTGTGGCTGCGTGCGTGGCCCACGCGAATAGTGATGTCATAAGTCTTCGGAGCGCTCCACCCGTTCCAACGACCTGCGAACCGTGGCCTTCAGCCGCGACCCTTGCAGGTGAAGTGTCCAGGACAAACTCATCAAGTCTCACTTTCTTGCGAACTGCGTTCTGTGTTCTCATTGGCTGAGGGGGAAGGCACCCTCTTGCATCCAGCGCAGCCAAAGGGCTCACTGGCCATCCCCGTCAGAGGCAATGCTAGCATGATGGCATAGAAGAACCGTAAGCTTTGGGTCTCCACCATCTGCACCAGTTCTCGGCGCGAAGCAACGGACTCGGACGACTCGGAGGAAGGCGCGCGCGGAAGGAAGGCGCGGAGTGCCAGTCCACCGAAGTCATGAGAGAGTGGTGGACCCCACAGTTCACTGGACCCGGATCAACCCAGATCCTCACCCTGATCACAGTACTGTATATCAGATTATCATAGTACAGTCATATAGTCATATAGTGTTGATGGACCACAACTGCAAAATCGTGAAGGCATTGCAGGATGTTCAGGAACACCTTTAATTTGTAGGGCCGTGGCCTCCAACAAGTGCCTGTTCCCTTTTCCAGGCCATGTCTTTCAAATTGCTATGCCATGTTCCATTCCTCATGGATCCACATCCCTTCTCAAAGGCTGATGTGTTCAACACCTTTATGCAGGCCTGGAGGCTCCCTCTACACCTTTGAAACGAAGTTTCAAACACCTGGATCCCAGAAAAGCAAATAAACATCACCAAAGAAAACGGTAAAACCCCATGGCCCAACCCCTCTCCCCTCTAGACCAAGGCGCTATTCCCCGGGAATCTGGGTGGGATCCCCGAGCGTAGCCGGACCAAGGCGCGCGCCACAAGGCCCAGCAGCATCCCTTGGTATAGCTCTGGCCGGCTCAACGGATCAGAATGCTGCCCCGATCTGCAATGGGTATAGAAGCTAAGTTACAATACATAACAACACGTATAAGGTATATACATATATGTCTTATACCGGTATAGTTATTATACAAGTACTGTGTGAAATGAGACAATCATATGGTATTGGGTGAACACAAAGGACAGTAATTGGACGGTCATCGCAAATATAATGACCTTGTCCATGAACAAACATTGAGATGCACTCTCTGTTGGTATCCCTTTCGAAAAGCACTTTCCATGGATGGACAAAACTCCATGAACCATCTTCCAAGACCAGCATGCACAAAGCATCCTCGGCCGAAAGCTCTTGTGGAAGCGTCCTAGAGGCGATCCATTGATTCATGCGCGTAGCTATTCATGCATTGTGCTTGTGGGAAAACTCTGACCTAGAAAACCTACCATCACCCACCAGCGCTTTCGACTGGTGGCTGAAACCGCCAAGGCTCCAATACCAAGTTGTTTGTGCAGAATCAACAGTTTCCTGCGCAAGAAGCGGCGCAGGAAGATCTTGCCTGCTTGTTGACACATGTAGAGGTTGGCCTATCATGCAGCCCAAAGTTGGCTCACAATTCTTGCTGGAAGTTCCCCCAAAACGACCTAAATTGAAGCACCAACATGTTTCTTCAAACCTAGCCCACATACTCCACTTGATGATCTATATTGACCTCGGAAACCAACTCAATCACCTCAATGTAGGGAAATGTCTGGGTAACTTTGGTTGCTCCATTGCTGGATCCTGTTGAACGGGGAGAACACGCTGGCTCCTTCCTCAACCGCACGGGGGTTAAAGAAACATCACATGCACAACACTAAAAAAGGAGGACAAACCATGATAGTGAATCTTTCAGTTTATCATATCCCAAAAACTTATTCATAGGACTGCAATTGACCCCTCTTCAACCACCCCAATGTAGGCATATATACAAGTCCCATGGACTGGCTGGGCCAGGTATTGTATATCATAATGATCTCTATAGTTAGTTATAATTTCAATACAATATGTATATATGATAACCTTATGAATCATAGTCTCTGTCATAACAAGGGTCTTAGCCAAGTCACTGACTCTAAATAGAACCAAAATAGGAAACAAACCTATCAGTGATCTAACGTGATTTAACCAGTTAAGCCATTCTACCGCAACTGACGTCCATTCCCAATCTCCACCGGCTCCGTCCGCGCTCGCTCCCGAAGACTGAATGAAGCGCCTCTTATTCTGTCCGTTGGAGTAGGCCGCTGCCTGGGCGGTGCCCAAGGCACCAAAAATGCCCAGTGCCATCAGGAGGTGCAAGTGCCGCAGCGCCCGACTGTAAGTCAACAAGGACCTCGGTCCGCGCTCCATCGTCACCCAAGTAGCGACTCCACTTCCACCTCCGGACTGACCAAACAGAACTGGACCAAGTAGCGAAGAGGACGCCGACCGGTGCGGAATCAATTGCACCAAGCGACAGCGGCTTCATATGATGGGAAGTACGGTAGATGTAGATGCACACGAAAGCCACCCTCAGCAAACTCAATTCACAATGCCACACACAAACAAAAACAAAGTTACTAACTCTTAAAACTGAAACTTTAGGGGTTGGAATGGTTGTGCCAAAAGAAATGAAAATCAGTTGATGGCAAATGCGTCTCACTGCATATGGCAGCTGCGGCGTTCAAATGCATTGTATGACCTCTTGGTGTTCCTGGTCTGTCTCCCTAGGGCTCCAGTCGTACCTCCTCAGAAGGTATTTGGACATATTTGGACCCTCCAGACTCCAAACCCTCCCCAAACACCTCCTTAGAAGGTAAGAACTGGAGCCCTTCTGGGGTCTCTTCGCTCGTGCGCGTTGAGAACGCTCGTCCCGTCCTCAGCGCCGGTCCCCGATGCGACGGGTGAGTGATCCGACCAAGGGGCTTGGGACCCCATGCAGAACAGTGGCACAAGAAAGCCAGAATGAGCAGGAAACCAGGTTAAAACATAGCACCCTCCAATGAGGTCACCAATTGAAACCTGATGAAAGCTGTTAGTAGCCTGTTAGTAACAGGACCTAACAACCCTCCAAAGGAGACCTGTTGGAGGGTGCTGGTACATCAGGGTTGGTTGGCTTTGGCCCTCTGACCATTCAGTGGAGCGATCCACACTGGGACATAGAGAGGCTGATCTGTCGAGGCACAGTGCATCGAAGACTTTGTATTTCATGTACAAGGCCAAGTCCTTGCTGCAAAAGCTGGGAACGTCTGCTTAGCCCAAAGGGTCCGGAAGACGTAGCAGTGAACAAGTGGAATTTCTCGCGGGGCACCCAAGCTCACTCACTTGAGGGACCAACTACCAATTATCACAGGGCAAATCTCCACGTAGATACACCAATCACAGTGTGTTGTACTGTGTCCAAGTGTCCACCGTGTGAACACAGTGTTGCCCTGTGATTCACCTGTGATTCACTGCCAATTATCACAGGGAGATTCAACACGGTGTCCACAGTGTTGTACTGTGTCCGCTCCCGCTCCCACACTCCCCACCTTTCGATCAACGTCACGGTCTGGATGTGTCCGCCTTTCTCAAAAACCACCCAGGCAACGGTGTGTTTCATGTTTATGTTGGGGCAGGCTTCCATCCTTGTCGATTCCTCCTGGGCCACGAGTTGTCCGGATCCCCGTCGTCCGGATCCGGCGACCGCCCGTCACTAGCTTGAGCCCGCCCGCCACGATGTTCCGCCCCCAAAAGCGGCCACGCGTGCGCCACATTGAGACTCTTAGGTCTTGGCCCATGGTTCACAAGAAGATCATTTGGAGACTCGACTCTTGGTCCACCATGGAGAAAAATAATCACATGGTTAGGGCGAACAAAGCAGCCGCTTCCGAAGAAACCACCATGGTAAGAGTGTTGCTGGTACAGGTCCACTCATATTAGCCGCGCAGGGAAAAAGAGATACCCTGGCACCTGTGTGCCAGCTAGGCCGGCGAGTGGGCAACTAGTTTGCACACACCTCAAGATGGAGTTCAAAACCAAGCGCACGCACAGGGCCCAGGGCGCCCATCAAATGGTCAATGGTCACTCATCTGGACTGATACACCCTCATCAACCCTCCCACCTCCTCCATCCTCCCACCGCACAGTTCACCAAGCTCGGTTCGCCCAGCAGCAGAGCCAGTTCGGTCGCCTCCGGACGCCACCTCAGCCTTGGCCTCTGCATCCCAGTCCTCGGGGGACTCGCGCCCCCACCGCGGGACCGGCGCCCAGTCCGGAGCTGCGACCGCGATCGGCGGTGGACGTGAGGGGAATGCGAAATAGAAATCATGCCGTGACATGGAGTGTCGAAGGATTCGAGTGAAGCATAGCGAGTCCGTGTGTGGCGTCTGTACTTTGGGGTGGTTTCAGTGTGTCCTTCCAGGAAGAGTCAAGGAACTATGGAAATATCAAATACCTGTCTATGAACCTGTGTCGCAGTTCTCAAGCAGGGTAATCGGGCAAAAGGCACAAATCCAGCTAATTTTGCCGTGACTTAGGCCAATCAATTCTTCCGATTTGGAGACTTCGTGGAGGGTATTGCCCTTCAACATGTAGAGGGAAATGATGGAGGGCATGGTACTGAGAAGGTCGTCTGTCCTTCCAACCGTAAGAGTTCAACTCCCCAGGTGTACACTAAGTTCATGAAAGTATCAAGCCATCATACACATCATACACCATCTTCTTTAGCTCCTTTTTGCTGGACCTTTTTTCAGGTCCATGTCTTTGCTCTCTCCCTCTCGAGGGCACTCCCAAGGGTCCAAATGCTCAGCTGGCAGCAGGTCGCCCACCAGGAGCTCTTGATCCCGTCGTACCTGAGGCCAAAGGACATCACACTTGACATTTGGTTGCCATGACATGCATCAATGTCAATCGCATCTGCAAGTATACAGTATATATATATCATATATATATATATATCTATCGATAGATCACAAATGATCACAATGATTACAGTATTTGAGTGCTCGTCTTTATCACAAGTTTCCAAACCACCACATGCTTGACCCCAAACCACCCCAGCACTGCTTTTAACCCCGGGACCTTCCCACTGTTGCATCAGGAAGGGGGGAAGGGGGAAGGAAGCATCTCAAATCCATTCAAATCCCAAATCCAGAGTTCCTTGGCTGTAGATACCAACTGTTGAAAAGGGTTCCAGGATGGTCCAGCGAATGCCACAAAACCTCCAGGAAGGCCGTTGGAGGAGCCGCTCTCCTGGCTGTTGATCTCCCAACGGGGTTGGATCCTGCACATCTGACAAACCAAACATCCATGTCGTCAGCCCAAAGCACCAACAGCCATGGTAGTGCCATCCAGCTGGTGTTTTCGGCCGCGCGTAACGCGACCCACACTGGGGCCAGTGTGGACATCATTAACAACACCCAACTAGACGGGGCTCAACGAAAATATGGGCAATGTTCCAACAGCTCTTTAATCAGGGGCATCGGATGTTTTCAATTTATCCCTGGAATCAGCAGGGACGACCGTGGATGCTATGGCCACTTGGACCGTGAAATCCTGGGAGGGAGACCGTGGTTTGGTTTCTCTCCGATATTTGGCCACTTGCGTGTAAAGCGAAACACTTGTTGTACGAACACTTGAGGACTCCCCCAGCGCTGCAGGTGAGTTTCTGTAAGCAAAACTGCCGGAATCGACCTCATGCAACTCCTTCCAGTCCATCCATGAGACTGGAAAATAGCTATGTGTTATGTATTTACCCAGATCTACCCTATAGATGTAGGTATCTATTCCACACATGGATGGTCTGGGTCTGAGGACTTCCCTACTCTCCGACATAACATGGAAAATGGCCACTGAGACCACCGGGGTCTAAGAACTCTCTGGACTACACTGCACACGGATGTTCACTTTGATGAGCTTTGATGTAGGTTGCCCTGCCTCCAGCAATATGGAAGTGGATAACCCTCTGTTTGTGGAGGAAAGATGCCTTTCCGGGGGCCATGCCACCCACATAACCATGATTGTTCTTTGAAATAACATGTTCCCCAGAAAAGGGGGCTTACCCATAGGCTCATAGGGACAATTGAACAAATATAAACCTTGAGATACCGCAAAACCAGGGCGGGTAGTGGGTCTGAGGGCGTTCCTGCTTGCTCTCCCCAAGACTCGGGCTCAGTTCAGACCCAGCGACTCGGGCTTTCTCCGAATGCTCGAAGACCTCGAACTCCTTCGTGCAGTCTGTGCCAGCCTGGCGCGGCCACCGTCATGACAAACGAATGCCTACCGCATCGCCTACATTTGCCTACCACTCACCTCACCTCACCTCACCGCAACCGCACCCACTCACCCACCCACGCACCCACGCACCCACCCACCCACGCCACCGTGTGCCGTCGCAGCTCAGGCCTTGGAGGTGAGGATCTCATCACCACCCGGATGGTTTCCCAGCAAGGGTCGCAAGTCATAGACACCTTAGGAGTCTGGCGGAATTCTCGATACCGGGAACAAACGGCAATAAGCTATGACAAATGTTCAATATTCTCCAGGAACATCCAGGAACTGTGGATTTACCCAAACAAACGGGAAAAAAGAATTCAATGACCCAACAAGCAAAACCAAGGCACGGTTGTGGATGATCATGAAAGGCCTCAGTCGACCGGAGGACCGGGCGGATGGAGGTAGCAGTGATGGAGGCAGTGGAGGTGTCATGAAAGAATTCGACCAGGGCACTGGGAAGCTCCAGTTGGCTGGATGTTTGGAGTCACATTGGATTTCCAGTTGGGTTCCACCAGCTCACATTGGAGTTCCAGTTGGGATTCTACATGTTTGGAGTCTCCAGGGTAGATGTTTGGATTTCCAGTTGGGTGGTGGATGTTGGGAGTCACATTCTAACGGTCTTCTTTTTCAGAAAACAGGTGAGGTCGGCATAACTTCTCACAGTCGACACACACTGAACCATCTCTTTACAGCTTGGATCTCATCCAATGGTCCAATGAATCATCATTCCTTCGCCATACCAGGGGCCCCACAAACCATGTTCTTTTTGAGGGTGTGGCACACGTGAAAATTTGAAAAACTCATAAAACCTCAACCTTCTTCATTGCCACTTCTGGCCCGAGCCACTCCTCTGGCCCCGTCTTCTTCGCCACTTCGGCCCGGGAGAAGAAGGGGAACTCCTGGCATGAAGACGCACCTGTTCAGTGACCACCAAAAACACCAACAAAAAACACACAAGAGAGGTAGCCAGTCACCGTAAATAGGACCCGTCACCTGGAGTACCCAACTGGGATAGTCAATAGGGTCCGGACCAACCTCTGATGGAATGTTTAACAGTGCGGATCTGTGTGGTACATGTGTGTTTCTTTGCCAACATTCTCGGGCCACGCAGGCCCGATTCTTCGAGAGAAAAGCGAAAAAGAAACACATCAGCTGTTTGGATCACGCACGTCACAGTTTACAATATCCTCATGCTACTGGTAATACAGGGAGCTTGATTTTTGTTCAAGCCCACCAAGTAGAAATGGCTTGGACCCTCCCCTTATCTTCGGGGAATCCGGCGAAAGGGCAGGTGGCCACTTGAGATCTCAGCCAAACCAGTTCAAGGGTGCTGGTCATGATACGGTGATACAGTTTTAGTAAGACAAACACCCAAAGAATCAAAACGTAGAGCAAAACGAACAATCAACAAGTGGTAGAATGTGGTGGGGTAAAGAACCTACACCAAATATACCACCAAAAGAGACGACCGATCAGCCCAACGAACAGCCCCCCCAAAGACCGAACCCTGCCCGATGCCTTGCCGGCTGTGATGTCTTTGAGCTTCCTCAAGCCAAGAAATGACTTCAAGAAACAAGTTGGCTGGGGACATTGGCGGCCCTGCCCGGCCCGGGCATCCCCTGTGGAAGAACCATGGAAGTACACTCCATTTCATCTACCCACCCAAAGAGTTTGAACAATCAGTGCAGCAGCTGAGGAGATCCAGGAAGCAAACAAAATCCCTCAGCCATCCTCCAACCCTCTGGAAAAAACCTCCCACCCTCTGCACTATCCCCACTTCTGAGTCCGCCCAACACCACCTCCGCCCACATCATCACATCCTCCAAGCCACGGAAAGCGCGCGGCCTCCGACACTTTGGGCATGTCGGCGGTGCCGGGGACTTTCGCCGCCGCCGTCTTCGCCGCCTGGATATCCTCCTGGCTGCCCGGGGCCCCACCGCATGCAGCACGCGCACGCGCACAGGCGCTGTTTGATGCGTCGCGGTGACGGTCTCAGTCTGACAGGTGTGGTGAGATGCGGTAGGCACACTTTGGCTGAAACAGTTTTTTTGTATGTTTTTGTGGGGTGAGGAAAAAGACACATCTTCTCAAAGGAGCCGCTGTGAAGCGTTCCAAGATCCGAATCACGGAGGAAAAGAGGAATCTCACCAGGCATCACCGGTAGTTGCAACGAGTATGGAACCGAACGGCTGAATCATTCATAGACATATATAAATATATACTTTCGATGATACTCTCTATCTTCCCCTCTGCAGGGAAAATTCCTCAATGGTCCTCCCCCAGCGATGGCCAAATCCAGAAATCTGATCGACCAATGGGTTTGGAATGGATGTTAGATGATGTTAGGTCATGCACCGATCGGCAGCGGCCCAGATCTCCTAGGTGAGATGGGTGGAGGAGCTCGATAGAAAAGCTTGGAAAGTTGGGTTTGAACTCATGACTTAGCAGGGTTTTTGTTGGATGGTTCTCTTGGGATGGAGTTTGCACATAAACGCACTGTTTGAGTTGTCAGTCTCTAACAGGAAAAGCTTCCGACAACTCCTTGGGTCCCAAACACTCCATAACATGAGTCCCAAACACTCCATGAAACCACTCCAACTGACGAGGTCCAACTGATGAGGTATGAGGTCTTCTTCCTCCTTTTTTCAAGCTGAACACACTGTGAGCTGGCTCAAAAGCACTCCAACTTTCACCGTTCTGATTGTACCCGCCTCTTTAGTCTTGGGGAGAAGGAGAAGAAAAAAGAAGCTTCCAAAACCACAAGAAGCTTAATTAACACCCAACGAAGTCTATCTCTTCAGAATTCAGTGGGGAAAAAACAACCTGCTTGGTGTTTTCAGCTCACTTGACAAATATGAGTCAGAGGGCCCTTCTTCATCCCCAAGTCAGGGTTGAACATCAAAACTATCCGAAACCATCACCATTCGCCACCAATCCCCCAGATAAAGCAGGTATTCCGCGTCGTGCAGCTCTTCCACCCCCGAGGGCCGGGGCTGCGGCCGGGGCTGCGCTCCTGCGATGGCCCTTCGAGCCGGTGTAGCTCCGTGAGCAAATGGACCACCTCCTGGGACCGCGTGGCGCGGTGGCAGTGTGAATTCCGGAAGGACGCCCCGCCCCCTGGGGGTTTGGGGTTTGGGGAGGGAACTTGGGTGGTGGACAGAAGGGAAGGACCAAGGGAAGGAGGGAAGGACCACTCCCTGGAAGTAAGATGGTTACGTGGAGAATGACCCCGAGTTCGGAAGACCATGAATTCCAATACAAACAGGTGGTGAACTCCACTTCCATGTTAGTTCTTGGGAGAGTAGCACATCTCCTTTTTTCAGTGGTTTGAGGTGGTAGTCAACTTCTTGAAGTGCCTTTTTTCTTGGAGAACCGGCTATAGCCGCTACGGACCGGACCATCTTCGCAACAACTTCGAGGAGTTGGTCGGGGGTAGCAGTCAACCCATCCCATGCATTTTTGAGGAGAACATCCCAAAGCAGATAACTTCAACCTGGCTGCATCAGGTCCACCTCATGGCAAACAAGAAAGGTTCGTGCGCTGGTTTGCCTGGCTGGACTCTGTAGGGCTTGCATGGTTTGCCTTGGGAATTGCTTGAACATCCCCCTTTATATACTTAAGCGGTTGGCCTCTGATTCAGTCATTCCACAAATATCCGTGTCGACAAAATGGGTGGAAACAAACAAGCTATACGCCCTGGAAGAGACCCACATGGAACCTGCAAAAAAGAAACTACTGGTGTTCTAGAGGACTAATGGTCTTCCAGTCTGGTCTATGCCTAATTCAGGTTCCATGTGGGTCTCTTTCCGGGTGTCAAATGTACGGAGGACGGTTGAACCAGTGTCTTGGAGTTCCTCCCGTGAAGCGATGCACGTGGAATGCTGCACTCGATGTTCGATTCAGGCGACCCTTCAGGTGACCACATCCTGCTCCAATCGTTCCATATATTTATATATCATTATTAACTCTATCTATATATTTAACATTATATAACTATAATACAATTATATATACATATATCTTATCCACGGTCCACCTGTTCCATTAAACAGTGGCTATGAGTATTCACATCTTTATATGCTTAATATATTCTTAATATGCTTGATGTAGTCTATATAAGGGAAACCCGTCACTATCCTCCCCAGAATCATCCCCTGCTTCGATGCCGCGCCTTCTCTTTCGCACTCATGGAGGCCTCAGCGGCCACCTGAGGCAGTCGAAAGGGAGTGCTCCAAACAGCGAGTCAAGTAGGTTCCAGTAGAACATGGTAAACTGAACTGGAATGACGATAGATGCGTGAAATTGGCATACAAAATGCATTGCATATATTGTTGAGCAGGTGATTCTATACCTCTTTGGGAGGGCCTCTCTGTGTTCTTTAGGAGCCTCGGCATTTGCCATGGATGAAGTTTGTGAGTTCTTCAACTAATCTCTGTGCTTGTCTAAATACCGCCAGTGCCTGCCTGCAGACCGTGGAGGACGTGTGACATGGTTTTTCTTGTGACGACGTGAACAGTAGCTCTGTTGGGCATCTCACTCCCACAGCATCCACCCATCGGCAACCCGGCCGGGAACGGAAGTTCTGAGACCCCACGTTCACACCCGGTACGGGGACACCCGACGCCCGGAGATCCCGAAGAACAAACAAAAACACCTGCGGGAAGAAGCGCCTTGCCCATTTCCGCCTCTGGCCGCATGTAGAACTCCATCCAGTTCTTACCTGGAAGAAGCTTGGCATGGACATCTTCCACGGACTTGCAATTTGGCACGTGCGCCCCCGAAGGCGAAGACTACCGGACAAGCCATGTGTTGCACCGGAAACAGCTACGCAATGCATGAAAATCATGAATGCGTTCAAGGTTGTTGACATGTTGGCGCATGAAGAATGCGTTTCTCTAGTTTTCAAAACTTTTTGCATTGCAGTGCCATGAGGTGCGCTCTGTGTATGCCGGGCGCCGGCATAAGTCATAAGTGTCCTTTTGTGCCAGGCAGCAGCGGCATTGCCCCATCATACTTATCAGTGTGCCTGTGTTTGTCTCACATGTTGCAATATGTATAGCATACGTATATATATATATAGAAATATGTATTATCACATCATATCACATCAACAAGCAAACAAAAAGCAGTGAACAAAGTAACCTTCCAACCACCTTCAACAGGTCCTCCAAGATCGCCAGCCTGCCCTTTGGCCTTTGACCGTGCAAATCCACCCCGGTAGTGCTTGTGAAGCACAAGCTGGAGCTGGGACCCTGCCCTGCATGAGAGTTAAGAAATCCCATCAAGGCCTTCAAATGATCCATGCTGAGGAACTTTGTCCACAGTCTTGCCATGTTCATCAATGATTCATACATGACGTGCCCTGACTGTAGATCGCAAGTCCTCACTTCTGCCCCAAACAATTCTTGCCAGGTCTCTGGGAAAGCGCCCAGGGATTTTGTCCCACATGGGTGTAGCGTCACGACCCGCCCAGGCCAGGATGGAATTCCGTTGCTCGGGGTGGTGTTGCAGAAAATCGGTCAGGTCGTAGACCGTGTTGTTGATCTCGGAGACAAGTTTACGGCAATCGATCCCCTCGACTTCAAAACACACCCCTGACGCCATCCAAAACGGTGATATCAAAAGGCGGCTGACCCGGTATGGTCGCCGAAAATCCATGAACATCCCAATACAACACAATAAAACCATCACGGCCCTTTGGTGAAGACATGTGAAAAAATCATGGTGGTTGGAATATGTTTGGAATCCTAGGGCACCCTCAGCAGCGTGGCTCATAGCTCATGGCTTTGGAAACGCCCATGTTCTCAACCGTGAAAGCACCAATCATCCTGTAAGCACTCAGTGGTTCGATGATCAGCTTGGAAGGATTGCGCAAAAAATGACTGAATTTCAAACAGCACTCAACTTCAGCAACAACGCTCACCTTGCATCAAAGCTGCAAACCTGGCACCCTACAAACCGACCACACAGTTTTTCTTTGAACCACACTGAAATAGCGATGGGTTGCGTGCTTCGCACAGCCTGGACCTTTCAAACGGTTTCTCGAGGGATCACGCTGTTATTTTTGAATTCTTGCCTCACCATACGGCAAAGTCAGTGGTTCCATCCAGGACGCATCAACAAACAGCAAAGCTCCGCGCTATGTCCGCTGGGGGGTGGCGCGGAGCAAAAACCCACGTCCCCCAGAATCCTCCGGTGGCGCTCGCGGCGACTTGGTCAGCGTTTGCCATCCCAAGGGCCGCGATCCAGCAGTCGTGGGGTTTGTTGTGCTGCGCCACCTCCGACAAGGGGATGTCGCCCGACTTCTTCAGCTCCACCGGCCTGGGTATGTTCTGGCTTGCGGGAACTCCGCGTCAATGTGGAGAGGTGCAGGTGAGGAAGGTGTGGTGGATGGCAAATGGTTTGTGGAAAAAAAACGTCTGACCAAGGCATCCTCACATGGCTGGGGAAAAGATACATCAGATCCAAGCGGCTTTTGGAAGATCTCGTCCGCGTCCTTCTTGATCTTGGCGGCTTTCTCGTAATCTCCTGGAGGAAAGTCCACCAGTTTCTGCTGTTTCAAACTGTGAAGACATGAACCACTCAATCCAGGTGGAGGGCGCTCTGTGCCAGGTGAAAAGGCCAAGTCCATAAATTGGAAAACATGGGCCAACGCCCTGTCCCATTGCCCATCTCCCCTGCGTGCACCAACGCACCACACCGACTAAACTCTAAACAGCCAATTCCACGTGCTCTCCAGCATCCAGCGCAGCACGTTTCTGTGTCTCCATGCGCTGCAGCTTCGCCTCAGTTTGGGTCTTCGCAGCTGAATCCGACGGTCCAAGACCTGCGAGACCCCTTCTTGACCTGGTGACTCCTGATCCCAAACACTCCATGTATGGAATGCTTGCCTACAGTAGGTTCATAAATGGGGTGAAAATAGCTGGAGCAACCTTTGTATGCAAAAAATGATTTAACAATAACATGCATTTTGGAGCAGTCATGCCAAAAAAGTACCCTTTGTGTCACTACTTATTGTATCTTATTGTGTTCTTTGGGGATCTTGACCTGCACTGCACCTGGTGCAACAGGACACAATATTGATGGTGCAGAATTGATTACACGGCACACTCTCCAGTTCAACTTGTGGCATTCCAACGTTTGATAAGGGGCCACTCTTGAACTGCACCTTGCAAAATTTGACAAACAAGTCTAAATAGTCAAAATTTGCGGGGAATATGGCAGAAACTCGCGGACTGAACATTTTGCAGCATATTGAGCAGCTCACAAACACTTTAGCTTGACCAGGCTGTTTTTGAAGCCCAATCCTCGGCAAACACCTGAGAAAATGATCTATCCCAGCGCGTTTGTGGTCCACGTCTACCTCTCCTGGGACACCCCATCATAGCAAATGTCATGTTTGTCGTAAATGTCGCTTTTTTTAAAGTCCAGCATGGCCCTTTTTCTTGCTCATTCAAATGCCTTGAAATATTGCACTTAATTTTGGAATCGGGTGGTCCAGATATGTAATAGATGGATGGTCGGCGATGCAGTTGAGTCGGTACTTCATCCCCGAAGCCATTGACGAGGCATCCCCCATGCGCGCACACCGAAAAAGGAACGCCCCGCACCGGCGAGGCACTGTATAAGAGAACCATGAACAAGTATCAGGGCATACCAGGCATACCAGGACCCCCTAAATGGTGTCTACCAATAGGCCCTTCGAGGCCCTTCGGGGTGTCCACTTTCCTCACCCCAACCCGGAGAAAAAAGAAATACCGAACCCCGAACCGAACCACGAAAAAAACACCTACAGAACCACAGTGATGCGCCTTCAGCTCCAAATCCAAGGTCTTGTCCTGCAGCACTGTGCCAATGCTGTCACTCCGTGTGGGCAACTCCTCAGATCCCGAGGATCCGGCGGATCAAACGGGATGAAAAAGCAATGACGGTTTGCACACACGCCCCCTGGGTGGTTTTCCAGAACATCGAAGTGTTCTTCTTTCAAACATGTTGTAACACATAATTTATTTGTAGGGCCATATCTTCAGAAGATGGTTAGACCCCCCCAAACCCACCCTAACCACTTCTCAGGAGCTAGTTGGAGCCATAGTGTATAATGATTTATAGGTTGTTGATGCCTGGTCAATCTTGGTCGCAGTAATTCACATGGTCAGATCAAGTTGCATAGGTTCATCTTGGCAACGTGCCAACTATACCCAGGCTCATCCATGTCTGGGATACAATGTAGACTATAACCTTGCCAAAGCAATATTTGCCCTGAACCTCTGGAGGTTTCAAGAAGAAAGCAAGAGACCTCTATTTAGCAGGCTTGAGTAATCTTCAGAGAGGCTACTATTCCTTCTACTAGACACTAAGTGGGCAGGTTATGGTGGGTTGGGTGTAGGTTAGTTGGTGTGTGTGTGTGTCAGCTTTTCTGATCAGTCTGCCAGGGTTGGCCCACAGGTCGGCCAAAGGCATGTCTGCTGTTCAAACATGAAGGAACTGGCGTCACCATTCTCAAGAACCATGGCAAATGCGAGCAGCAAGCTATGCTAAATCTGGTTAGGAATCAAACTCAACGCCTATCAGAATCGAGATCCACTGGTGGTTGTGGCATACTTCAGGAAGAAAGTATATGTTTTTTCTTACCGAATGTTATAAGATCATAGAAAGATCTAAGTCAATCAGCGGTCGGAGTTCATGTCGCGTGGGCGAACGTGTGGGACGGTCAATTCACAAGCGCGAACGTTTTCACCGCTTCGGAGAGAGAACATTCGACCAGGTGATGTGATGTGAGGCGTCGTCGAATCCTGCAGGATTCTACCGACAAACAGGTTGGAATCTTCAAGAAGAGCGGCTTGTCCCAGTGGTGTATGGGCTCAAATCAAAAGAATAGAGTGCGCAACATGTCTTGACCAAAGCGATGCTCAACTCCAAACGGCCAAACAACAAACGCTCAACTCCAAAACTCAAAAATACAACACAACTCAACGTTGCTTTTTGTGACTGTGAAACTCGATCAAACCATGTTGAGTTGCAAGATGTTGCGAGCAACTCCCAGTTGACTCGACCAAATGAAACTCAACTCAAAGTTCAAGTCAACTCACTGCAACTACTACTGCAACTCCTCATGTTGCAAGGCATTTGGCTTCTCCATGCTTGCCAGGCACTGCTTATTGGCTTCTCCCCCAGTTCCCGAGTTCCGAGTCGATCCAAGAGACCCTCCATGTTATGGAAGTTGATGGACCCCAGAAAAACCATCCCATATAAATGGACCCCGGGACACCATCTCAGCTGATCATAGCGTGTCTAAATAGGTCAGTCCCATCGATGTCATGGGTCGACCAGCTTACGAAGACGCTCCTTGTGAGCGAGAGTGACCCAGCTGAGCCTAGATCCGAGCCTCTGCGACTCGCGACTACGCAGCTGAGCCCAGATCCGCATGACGCCGCCGAGTGGCGGTCTTCCCCAAGATCCGGTTCAGCTCCTCCTTGACTTCCTCAGTTGAGACTGGCCTGATGGCACAGGTCTGGAGAGGGAACTTTGGCATATACCATCATATACCCCAGGGACAATAAGCCAACTTGACGGATCCTGGATTCGATGCGCTGCCCGCGATCGAAGCTGTTCTGAGTCTGTCCTTCAACTCATTCGAGTCACTCTGTCCTAGGATGTCATGGATGCTTCGAAGAAAAGCAGGTCGACTATCAAATGGACCCAGGACACTTTAAGAATTCGACCCCAAAATGTTTCCACCGGTTTCGTTTCGACCCCAGGCATCTGCATCTCACCATCGGTGCAATCGCCGATGATATCCATCGTGGGGTGCCGGGTCCTCTCCACCCTCAGAGCCTCAGACCTCCGGTGCCGCCACGTCTCCGTAATGCGCGCTTCCCGCAGTGTGTGCCAAAAGCTCTCGGACCTCGGCAGTAGACCGCGACCGCGGCACGCGGCAGTAAGCGGCGTAAGCGGCAGGCTTAGCGGCACGGTATGCGTGCCACGGTGTAAAACGATGTGGTGTGTGTGTGTGTGATGGTGCATGCTATAGTCAATATTGAATCGATATATAGTCTATATTTTAGAGGTAAAAGGATGGGCGAAAGGAGCATCCTGATTTTATGTCCTTTCCCACTTAAGTACTCACGTGCATTGCCCTCTACAATTGACCCCAATGCCCCCAATGCTAAGTTCTTTTTTTCTTCGTCTGCTAGTCCCATGGAGTGTCTGGGACACTCCATGGGACTAGTTGACTTTCACACACTTTCACACCTTCTGGGGTATTGTTAGGTGCTCTTGCCGGGCAATCTGCCGCGGCATTCGTGTGAAACTCATGCAACCAGCATTCGTGTGACGGTCATGTTGACATCGAAACACTCACAAGCAACATTGTTGGCTTGTATACCTTAACTTATACGCCATGTCCTGTGCACCCTTCGCACAAGGTAAATAGCAAATCTGATGGCAACAGACCAGCGATCCAACCCTGGGGGAACAACTCCTTTTCCTTACAGTCATGCATGGTACCCGGGTCAAGACTAGTCGACATCAGCAAGAATGGTCTCTTCACGAGGCTTTTTCAGGCTTCGCAAGCTGCGGAACTGCAAATTGCATTGCTCCAACAGGTGACTGCCCACCTTCTTGATGCAAATGGCTGGGCAGTCCAGCAGCGAGTTGTATGTCACCAAATCTGGAGAAGGCTTGGCCTCCAACATTCCCTGAAACAAGTTCAATGCCTCTTGCCATTGCCTGCCCTTCTGGCACCCACGGATGGCCGCGTTGTAGCTGATCACATTTGGTTGAAGGTTGGCAAGGCGCAACGCTGCAAACAAGGCCAATGCCTCCTGCCAGCGCCCTTCCGTCTCACATGCACTGATAGCCGCACTGTAGCTGACAACATTTGCCTGAAGCTTTGCTGTTGGCATTGCCCAAAGAAACACCAATGCTTGCTGCCATTGCCCGCCCTTGTCACAGGCACTGATGGCTGCACTGTAACTGATGACATTCGGTTCAAGTGTTGCGCTCGGCATTGCCCAAAACAAAGACAAAGCCTCCTGCCATTGCTCGACCTTCTCACAGGCACTGATGGCTGCGCTGTAGCTAATAACACTTGGATTAACCTTCGCCCTGAGCATTTCCTCAAGCAATGTCAACGCCTCCTGCCATTCCCCGCGCTTCTCACAGGCGCTAATAGCAGCATTATAGCTGATGACATTTGGATAGAGTCTTGATTTAGGCATCGCCTGAAGGAGCAATATGGCACGTTGCGATTGTCTGCCCTTCTCGCAGGCACTGATGGCTGCATTGTAGCTAATCAGATTTGCTTGAAGCTTCGCAGTGGGCAAAGCTCCAAAGAATGCCAAGGAATCCTTCCACTTCCCACCTTTCCCGCAAGCGCTGATAGCCGCATTGTAGCTAATCACATCTGGCTGAAGTCTTGCTTGAGGCATTGCCTCAAATAGTGCCAATGCCTCTTGCCATTGCCCACACGTTTCGCAGGCGCTCATTGCTGCACTGTAGCTGATGACGTTTGGTTGAAGCTTCACGTTGGCCATCTCCTTAAATAATGTCAATGCCTCTTGCCATTGTCCACCCTTCTGGCATGCGCTGATGACCGCACTGTAGCTAATGATGTTCGGCTGAAGTGTAGTTTGGGGCATTGTCTCGAACAATGTCAATGCCTCGCGCCATTGCCCGCCCTTCTCACAGGCACTGATGGCTGCACTGTAGCTAACCACATTTGGCTGAAGCCTTGCCGTGCGAATTGCTTCAAGCAATGTCAATGCCTCGTGCCATAGGGCACACTTTTCGCAGGCACTGATGGTGGCACTGTAACTAAACACATTCGGTTCAACCTTTGCTCTGGGCATGACCTCCAACAACCTCAGTGCTTCCTGCCACATGTTTGATCGGCCACATGATGAAATCCCAGCAGTGTAGTGCATGGCGTTCAGCTTGATGCTTCCATCTTCTCTCACCGCTTCTAACGTGGCAAACGCGAAGATGCCTTGCTTTTGCTGCGCGAACAGCTTCAAAAGTTCCTGCAGCTTCCACCACGAGCGCTTGACCTCCGGCAGCACAACGCTTGCACAATGTGCTTGTCCCAGCTCCGTGCACATGTCGAGCAACTCATTCGCCTCCATTCTGGGAGTCTGGTCTGCGGCTTTTCTGCGGCCAGACTCGGTTTGCGGCTTAAACAGGTCGATGCGCGCTGAACAATGCAGTCATTGTGTTAGTCTTGGGCCCAACTGTGCTGCTTAGTCTTGGGCCCAACTGTGCTACTTGTGTCAAAGCATCACCGGGATCTCATCAAATGGACTCACCCCACCCCCCAAATAATAATGAACTGGGAAACCCCCTCCCTGTCATGTGGAAACACAATATAGTAAACGCATCCCAGACCATTCTTGGGACTGGAATCGTTCAACATAATATAAATTCTACCCCATGAACATGACCCATCCACACACTCCTCCAGTCCCATTCGTCTGCAGCGGCATGGTCCGCCCAGGAACCGGATGCCGTCCGGAAGTCTGCAGCGTAGCAGGAAAACATGATTTCAATCCCCTGGCCCCCCCTACTGATCACCTGCAGCCCGTTTAGGCCAACAGATCTGCCTACTATCTCCTATGCAACTGATCTCCCTACTGCAGGTGATTCACCTACGCTGCAAGAGCGCTTTGATGATCTGCATGAGGCCCTCTCCTTGGGCTGCTGGCCCCATGAAAACCCGGATCCTGTTGGCCTCCAGAAACTTCAAGCTGCAGCACTTTTCTGAGCTTAAAACCATCTTGAACCGAACAAAATGCAATTTGATGCCATTTAGTCCTTCTTTGGCCTCTTGATTTTGGGAACGCCTTCGAAATCGAAGGCGTACAGTCCTTCTTTGGGCTACCGCTCTCACCTTGGGCACCGCCCATGTGCCCAAGCCTCTCTGAGTACCTTTGGGGGGACTCATGCAGGCCAGCAAATCGCCTCAACCAACAAACTCTTAGGGAAGGAACACATTTTACCTACCACCAGCAGGTGGGTTAGACAAAGTTGTGGAGCCCCTACTTTCTCACTTTTCCTCGAAACTCCTTCATGTTTTGGCCTGGTTCGGGTTCCAAAAAAGACACCTCGCATCACCTCCAATCCGTCCACTCCCGTCGCTTCGGAGCTAGACGTCGATTCTGCGAAGCGGCATGAGGCTCTCGTCCACGCCGAGGTCGCCCAGAAAGGCTTCGGGTCGTAGGTAGGAGTCGATCTTCACGCCTGAAGACCATGGTTGGAACCGACCGAGTGCGAAGACTACGGAAACCGAAGGCTACGGCTAATACACGGGTTGCAAAGAGTTGAGGTGAATCCTTTTGGGCCATGGCTTCTTTTGGTTGATGGATGTTGGGGGGGGTTTTCGAAGCAGCATGGCCGACCTGGTGCGTGCTGCAGTGCTAATGTGGCCCTCAGATTTATAAACCCCCCTAGAATTATGTCTTTTTTTTTCCCTGCACTGATTTATAAAGGCCCCTAGAATAATGTCTTTTTTTTTGGAGGGGTAGTTGTAGTGGATTTTTTTTATTGTTATAGTTTACTTTTTCCCTTTTGAATTTGCTGGGATTTGCTTATCTTACAGGCTTTTGGATTGAGATTTCTATTATATAAACATTTGGAGATGTCCATTGAGATTTGATTCTTTTGGAGGCTTTTGGATGGAGATTTCTATTCAAAAATTTGAGATTTCCATTGAGATTTGATGCTTTTGGAGGCTTTTGGATCCCTTATTTAAAAGTATTAAAAAACAAAAAAAATCATTCAAGCAAAGGGGGTAGTCCAGCAAGCAGCTTTCTGACATTATTTAGGGGGGCCCCTAGAATAATGTCTAGAGATTTGAGGCTTTAAATCTTTATTCCTTTTCTTTGCCTTTTGATTTGCTTTACTCACCCTCTATTCCTTATTTACTTTTCCTAAGCTCTTTAGTTGTGAAGCTTTCCAAAAGTTTCCAAAAGTCAGTGCGCACTTTCTTTATAAAATCCCTTATTTAAAAGTATTAAAAAACAAAAAAAATCATTCAAGCAAAGGGGGTAGTCCAGCAAGCAGCTTTCTGACATTATTTAGGGGGGGCCCCTAGAATAATGTCTAGAGATTTGAGGCTTTAAATCTTTATTCCTTTTCTTCGCCTTTTGATTTGCTTTACTCACCCTCTATTCCTTATTTACTTTTCCTAAGCTCTTTAGTTGTGAAGCTTTCCAAAAGTTTCCAAAAGTCAGTGCGCACTTTCTTTATAAAATCCCTTATTTAAAAGTATTGAAAAACAAAAAAAATCATTCAAGCAAAGGGGGTAGTCCAGCAAGCAGCTTTCTGACATTATTTAGGGGGGGCCCCTAGAATAATGTCTAGAGATTTGAGGCTTTAAATCTTTATTCCTTTTCTTTGCCTTTTGATTTGCATTCAAGCAAAGGGGGTAGTCCAGCAAGCAGCTTTCTGACATTATTTAGGGGGGGGCCCTAGAATAATGTCTAGAGATTTGAGGCTTTAAATTTTTATTCCTTTTCTTTGCCTTTTGATTTGCTTTACTCACCCTCTATTCCTTATTTACTTTTCCTAAGCTCTTTAGTTGTAGATTTCCATTGAGGTTTGATGCTTTAGGAGGCTTTTGGATGGAGATTTCTATTAAAACTTTGTAGATTTCCATTGAGATTTGATGCTTTTGGAGGCTTTTGGATGGAGATTTCTATTAGAAAAGTTGAGATTTCCATTGAGATTTGATGCTTTTGGAGGCTTTTGGATGGAGATTTCTATTAAGAAATTTGAGATGTCCTTTTAATTTAATATTGCCAGAGGTCTTCAAACTTAGGAATTCTTATTTCCTTTTAATTTAATATTGCCCGAGGTCTTCAAAGTTAGGAATTCTTATTTCCTTTTAATTTAATATTGCGAGAGTAGCTCCAGAGGTAGCTAGCTAAGGATTCCTTATTTAATTATCAACTGATTGATTTTCATATACATTATTTTGGAGGCCTTGGTTGTTGAGGGGGGGGGGTGAAAGAGTGACTAGGGCGTACACGGTAGAGGTGCAGACCGCTAGTGTCTTTTGCTCACGCAGAGTCTTATCCTCTTAGGTCCATTGACCCTCTCTTGAGCCTTGAAGCAGTCAAGCATGGACACACTATATCAGCTGTTGGAGTGGAACCCTGTACAGGTAGGCTCTACTTTTCAGCAGGCACAAGATTCATGTCCACTTCTAGCTGATTGCGTATGTCGCATACTCTTTTTCTACTGCAAGGCTAAAACAGTCCAGCTAGCTCTGACAACTTAAAAGAAAACTACGGTGCCATGTACTTACCTAATCCGGTGTGTTTCACACTTCAGAGAAGGTAATCTCATAGCTACTAAATACAGTGAGGGAGCAATAGCTGACTCACCTCAAGTACAAAATCAAAGCGATAATGTACCTCGGCTGGAGACTGTACTTTTCGCTGGCGGAGATACCATGTACCGGCGCTCACTAGCTCTTTAGGGCCTGTGCTAAATCAAACTAAAAAGGAAAAGCGGCTTCTTACACAGAGACCTATAAAAGCAGTAAACGACACTCGCGTAACAAGGAACTAAAAATTCAAGACCGCACAATGCAATGAATTAAGATGCCTTGCAAAATGCAAGGAGCGTACGGTCCGAGGAATAATCTTCTCGTGACGTGGTCTCGACCGCTTTCATTCACAGACAAAATAAACTGCATCAAAAGGACTCTCTTTCACATTCATATCAAAACACAAGAAGGAGATACCGGCAAATGTATGTACAAAAAAAATCTTGCACTACAATTGCAAATCATGAAATGACTTAATCATCAACCATGAATGGTTGTCCATTAGAGGTCATCTCAGAAAGAGCGGCTGTGATAGATATCATCAGTTATGCAAAACTGTCCATACCTATCTGCATGCTAAAGCGTATAGACCTGGAATGCAGGAGTATCTTCTTTTATAAAAAGTTTCTCCTCATTGCAAACCAGAGTTCATTAAAACTTCAGCCTGGCAATTTAATGATGGCTAGGAAGTGAAGATACTTCTGGTTACAGTTGATACCTTGCTTCCAAGCTTGACCTTAAATTTCAGCCTTCGCTCAGGAATTATGCCGCTGCAAACGATGAAGTTGCTTGATCAGAAGTTGGCGGCCTTCCTTTCTTTCTATTCTGCTTTTGTCTCTCCTTCCTCCGCACGTTCGCTTCTTGAAGCGTTGCTGCTGTGCGATACTGTCTTCTGTCTCCAGATGAAAGGGAAGCTGGTCTGAGTGAAATAAACATTGGACCATGACTATCCTCGTCAGTGGGCCTTGAGCACATAACCTCTGTGTCAATCATAGCAAAGTTCTCTGAAAAATTACAGATGAACTCCTTCGTGCTCACTGTGGAATTTTCATATTCCTCTTCACTCATTGAATGACCCCATTCAACAATGGTAGACAAACATGTATCGCCAAGCCTTGATCCTTGGTATTCTTCCCTTTCAACAGTAGAGTATTCTTCCCAGAGTTTGTCAAAGTAATCTTCACACTTCTTGAGGACCTGTGAAGTTGAACTGTAAAAAGTTCTGGGAATAGGTGCTTTGATACCAGGATCTGCTTGTACACGAGCTTCTGAAAGCCTGCGGATCCAATGCTGCATGGTGCTGTAATAGTAGTTAGCCATTGGCTGCCTTTTGTACCCAGACATTCTGTAGGCCAAACTATTTGCATCACCAGAAATGATGTCCACCTCATAGACAAAACACTCGTAAAGCATCAGTGCCGTCTGTTCTCCTGTCAGTAGGTGGGCATCCACAGCACGGTGTGTATCAACATGATAATTACAGACTCTGATGGTATGCATGTTCGCTCGAGTAAGTGGAACACGCTTGTCCTCTGGACCATAGTCATCAAATTCAAAGTCTGCATCCTTGAAATCTTGACGAGGCCTTGTTTCTCCAAAACAAATCTCGTAGATAGCCCAAGTTACATCACGCTGTTCACAGTGACCAAGTTCTTGATCATGTCCAGCAATGATCTTGACATATCCACCTGGTGCCAATCTAGCCATCACTGCAAGATTCTCCCAATCATTGAAACAAACTGTCCAATTCTTTTGCTCAATAAATTCCTTGGCAGGAACAAGAAGATGAGCTTCCTGGAGAATCACGACATGTGCACGTAAAAAGAAGAGCATGTTGAAGAAAAGGTTGTTCTCAAATTGCTCATTCTGAAGTGACATGGCGCTCTGTTTGCGTGGCTTCATTGCACCATCAAGTCCTTGGAGAAACCTTGGTGTGGTGTACTTCTGACCACGAACCATGTTGCCATAGTTCCAGGATAAAAATGTCAAGGACTCTGAGCTGGCCAATAAGTTAGTTCCATATGGTTCTTCTATTCTTCCTTTAAGGAACCTTCTGCACAGCTCTTCATAGAAGGTGACAAAGTCCCAACTGGGTCCCTTGGGACCATATGCTTCCAGTTCATTCTTGAGTTCCTTCTTCGTATCCTCCAATTCTTCTCGAGCATGACCTGCCCTTTCAAGGGCCTTTGGATCGACCTGATACCTGCCATCCAAATAAATGATGCGGTCATCATTGATGAAGAATCTCTTCAAATCATGCCCTCGTTCATGTTCATAACAAACAGGTGGAGGTACTGGACAGACATTTCGAATGGATCGAACAAAATCATTCTCGTTGATCCTTGACTGATAATGAGGATGGGAAATCTCACCTTTTCTGAAACAAACATGATTCAGCAATCTTGCATGAGTTTCCCTGAAGCGTAGTTGATAAAAGCCAATACCTGGATCTCCTGTAAGCTGTCCAAGCAACTTCAAAGGTGAAGTATGCAATTCATAGGTATTGTCAGCTTTTGTTGTATCCTTTTCAACAACTACTTCAGATGGAAAAGATTCTTGGATTTCTGCCTCCAATTTCTTCTCTTCATCATCCTCTCTGACCTCTTTTATTTTCTCCACCGCCTCTTTCTTCTCTTCCATGGTTGCCTCATCCTGAACTTCTTCATGAAAATGAGGATCAGGAATTTTATTCAGGCGGCTTTTCTTAGATTTCCGATGACCTGAAGTATCATCAAGGTTAGCATCCATCTCACCTGATGGTAAGTGCGATGCAGTCGAGTCCTCACCTTTCTCTCTTGACAGAAAGTGTGGTGTTGACTCTTCCTTGGCTTCCTCCTGGTCAACTTCCATCTTTGGTTCCTCTGAAGGAAATTGTTCTGCTACATCCTTGGTGAGCAAGTCCTCTACA